CCCCAAAACCCCAAAACCCCAAAACCCCAAAACCCCTACAAATTTTATATATATTGAGCTTTGCCTAAAATATTCCTTCGGAATGTTGTCCTTGCTAAAAATTATTGTTAACCTTACTTTTTCACCTCCTTGGGTTAGCATAATTGGAGTGCTCTAAATACTCTTCTTCCTTCTCCTTTCGAATTTGACTCATCATTCGACAGTTATTTCTGAGGTCAAGTGAATCTACCCATGGCTGTACATGCTTCGAGTAGGCTTTATTAGTCATTGAGCTATAATAATAGTATAAAAGTTACAGATTTTGCCTTGAAGAGTCATTAATAGCATCTTGTAGGATTTTCTTATGCCTTTTACAACCCTTTTTGATATATTTTAGCTCTTTGAGGGCTAACTCAGCTCAAGGATATTTCACATCTTTAATCTTCTTGAACTCATCTTTTTGAAGAAACTCTTGAAGGTGTTGAACCTCGAGTCAATAAACAATAGCTTCTTTACTGTTGCACACAATGTCTCAAGCGTATGGCTTCTTCTTGAGGATATTCGAGGTTCCAAAAATTTTGTTCTTTCTCAGTACAACAGATGTAAAACAATGATTAGTCTTACTCTGCTTTATCTCCCACAACTTATAATGTATGGGCCAAATATTGGTGCTAAAAGTGTCAAGCTTGACCTCTGCTCTGAGAGACCCTTCTTTAATGATGTACATACAATCTGGAGTCATTCCCTTAAGGATCAAGATGTCATCATACTTCATTTTCTTCTGTTTGACCTTTTTAGACAATCTATAAAGCTTGTCCTGATCCATTTCTTTAAAGAAAGGGAAAGTCTGGCTTAAGTACTGAATTTTGTCTTTTCTTGCCTGGCTTTCCCTATTAAAGGTCACTCTTTCATACCCCTCCTTAAGGGAATCTGAGTAGTTCTGCCTTGCTGATTACTTCGTACTGTGCAGACCTGGATGTGATGAAGTTAAGCTCATAATCACCAATAATTTCTTTACTCTGAAGCACTCGAAGCAAAGTTTTCTTCCCCTTTGGGTAATGATATACTCCTATCTTGCCACTGATTACCAAAACAACTGGTATAAAAGGAAGATCTTTCTCTTTAAGGACGTGACCAGCAGAATGCTCGAAATATGTATGGATCTTCAGAAGTCCATCAACCTCTTCGTGGCTATACTCGGCTTGAAAATAAGACTTGAAGCCATAATTTTCATCACAGTGAGAAATATAGTCAAAATGCATATAATCAGTTATTTTATGGTTAATGAAGATATTTTCTAGTTGATTACTGAAATTCTGTGAGTCTATTATCTCAGTATCCTGGGAAGTCAATTCAAGCTCTGAAGGGCTACGAGCAGGTAATAGGAGTCTATTTATAGACTCCCTTGTCTTCTCCCTCATCAAGAGCACACTTTTAGATTTACACCTAATTTGAATAATTTATGAAATTGCCAAATTTCAAAATTATAAAAAGTGCTTGAGATTGTAATTAAAGTGAAGCAAATAAGCATTTGAATAGATCTTGGAATAGAACAGGATCAGCCTCTAATTTGGATGATACAGATTTATAACAGTACAGATCGAGAAACTTTGTTGTGTCAAGATCAGTAATTAACTGCTAAAATGTATGTTTGAAAGAGACTTGAGCCTCCAAAAAATGAATGGCATCACTCAAATAAAAATAGGAAGTAACCTTACTTAGAATTTACAAATCTTTCTCTACTCTGACTACTAGAAACTTTAGAAGCAGAGCTTTCTCCTTTCAAAGATCTTTTAGTAGAAGTATTTGAGTAGTTATAAGACTTATTGTTCTTATTCTCATATTTAAAAGGAGTTGAATGACCTTCTCTTCTTAGCTTCCTCTTCTGAGCAAACTTTGTAGCAGTTTGATAGAAATTAAGAACTCCGTCTGCTGGAGTGAATGCATAAGAGTTATCTGCCTTTATCACAGTAGAATTTATACTAACCATATCAGGACCTTTAGGCTTGAACTTAGAACCCTTTGATGTTCTCTGTCTAATTCTGTTAATAAAATTTCTTCTGTTCTTCCTTGATCCAGCTCTTGTCCTTGACTTCCTTCCTATTTTCATTAAATTTTATTGTTAAAATATAATTTTGGGGTTTTGGGGTTTTGGGGTTTTGGGG